TTTTTTTTTTTTTTTCTTAAATCTTGACATGCCTTACACATCAAATTTATACACTGTACTGGGAGAGACATTTGGCTTATCTGGCTATCGAAACTCTAATTTTAAAGTTGCAATAACCATCCCATTCTAGAGAAAGTGCTGCATGGCTACATGTGGTGGTATTTTACAGCTTGTTTTTTAAAGCATTGCATCAGTAAGGCTGGTCCCATTCCAGAATACGAGTCTCAGAATTTGCCCTTCTACCAAGACACAACAGTGTCACTGACCACTCTTTTTTTTATATTCCATCACAAAACATTATAAATGACATAAAAGCCTGAAAAAACAGAAAAGTACCTGGGGGTTCTGGTTGACAGTGGCTGAGCATGAGCCAGGTGTGGCCCAGGTGGCCAAGAAGGCCAATGGCACCTGGCCTGGGCCAGCAATAATGTGGCCAGCAGGACCAAGGAACCCTGCACACAGCACTAGCTAAGCCTCACCTCCAATCCGGTGTCCATTCTTGGGCCCCTCATGATAAGAAAAACATTGAGGGGCTGGAGCATGTCCAGAGAAAGGCAATGCACAACCTCATCTGAAATATGCAGAGCTGCCCTTTGGAATTTGGGGAATATTTTAAGAGTTTCCTCTATGTTTTACCATGCTGAATTTCTGTTTTGGAAGAGAGATAAACATGGTAATAAAGACAGTGCTCTGAACGTGTAAAGGTCACATGGCTGTTCTAGCTTGGGGTGACAGAGCAACACAGGCAAAACCAGCCCATGTGGCATAGAAGTGAGACCACACACAGAGATCTGTGTCTCTTTAACCTGCAGCCTAAGAAGGAATCATGCTAAAATGTGAAGAGGAAGAAAGGCAAGTAGAAGGCATATGTGTAAGTGTACTACACATCTGAGGAACCTGCAGTTAGAGCTGGATAACTCCTTTCCTAACTTAACGTGAGAGACCATGTCTTCATTTACACTTTTTGTAACTCCAGACTGGAGTCCCCAGCATCAAAGATATCTGATGATGTGTCTTGAAGTCCCTTGACACAAACAGCAATCTAAGTTGTGTTCTGCCAAAAGCAGTATCCTTTCTAGGTGAAATGCAATAATGAGATAGTACAGCTGTGACTAGTATGCCATGTCAACATGCTGCAGATTTTAAGACATCCTTGAATAAGGATAACTTAAACTCTTGAGGAATGTGTTTTTATTGATGTGCAGAAAGGTAGTGGGGGTGAGGTCACTCAGCTGTGGCAGATTTGTATCATAATTTGATTCATGTTCTTATCCTACTTGACAGGCTTTGTGCAGCAGCGACTGTGACATTCAGATCTGTCAGCAGGAGAGATAAACAATCCTTAGCACCTGAAAGGCTTAATGCAAATATATGAAAAAGACACAAGCCCCTTGACATTTAAGAGTGCAGTGACCCAAAAAGGGTGAGAGACTATACACTTTGGAAGGTATACAATAAACTCAACTTTGCAGGTTCTGTATAGCAGATTTGTGGCACCAAATAAATGTGAATAAAATAAATACATGCTGCTCTGCTCAAACTGTGAATCTGCTTAAACTGTGGGTCAAGCTTACTCCTGATCACTGGAATTATCACACTCTCACAATCTTCTAAGAATGGTTCTTGGCTAACACTAAATTCTGTTTGTCTCCCTTAACTCTAAGGGCCAGAATTACTTCATATGCAGTTCTCAAAGAGGTCAAGCACATGGAAAATATCTACAGCAATGTAAGACAACATTTCATCTGTTATTCCAAGGCTCCCATCACCGTAGTCACATTCACAAAGAATGTGTGCTTTCTGGTAGGCAGAGCAAGAAACTTTCTGAAGTGGTAATATTATTTTAGCCAAAGTCACCTTTTGAATTTAAACTTGTCTTCACAGAGGATATAAATGTTGGAAGCTTGATTAATCTCTATTCTCTTCCCTATACAGTTTTAGAAAGTAGCTGTGGTAAGACCTCTGTTCTTGCAACCAGTACAAATTCACTCCACAAGAGGGCTTGTGTGTTGCCAAGGTAATCACTGATGAGAATGGTCCTTAATAAGGAATAAGAGAGAAAATCTGAGGCTTGTCAATGGTACTGAGATGCACTGAATATTGTGTGTCTTTCTTGCTAACAGTAGCCACCATTTGGGTTTTAATTTCAACTGAGACAACAACAACAAAAACCCATAAAAAACCAAGATGGAGTGATCTAGACTGAAAGATCTAAAAAATAAGCCTTATTTTTAAGAGAAAAGAATCTTTGAAGTGTTTGCCTAGAGTCTGTAAAGGATTTTACCTGTTTTTCAGTTAAATCCATCAAAGAGCTGTAAGTCATGAAACCGTAGATCTAAGACAGTAAGTGCCTTGCACAGCTCCAGAGAGAAAAGAGCAGCAAATTTTTACTGTGCCAGCAGTATCTGCACTGTGCTAATAACTAAAAATGTACTTACTGAAGAGTACTAGCTCAGAACTGTGTTTCAGCACAGAGAAGTGCCCCCAAAAGCAATGACACAAGGATTCTTCAAGGTCTCCCAAGTACTTTCTACATTTGTTTACAATAACAAACACAACTTGGTAATTAGCCTTCATTGAAAAGAAATAGTTATTTCAAAAATGTTCAGAAAGTCCTAGCTCTGGTGATGGTACCATTCTCTTTTTCTCTCCACTGACTGATAGTGAAAGGGTTCTGTGGTCACTCACAAGTTCACAGAAAGGAATTGGCACTTACAAACCTCTCCTCTTGCAGAGTAGCTGCCAAAAGGGAGCTCTTGAGAAGGGCCCTACAAAAGAAGGCTCTAAAGAATCTAATTTAAGAGCAAAGAGCACTTGCAACATGAAACAATGTAAAATGTCCAGTGATGCCCCAAGTAATGAGTTATTTGAATACTGAAGTGTTTCCTCACATACCGAGCAATCTTCATTGAGAGGTTCTGGATGTCCTGGGCAGCATGTCAGAGACTCCTCTCTGTCAATAGTTTTTTATAACAAATTCAAGAGGAAAGCAGAGATAGGAATATGTGTTCAGCACCAAGTAACCCAAGCAGCATCAGTATCCTCAAACAGTTCCAGCTAGGAGCATGTCTACTTTGCCAATGTATAGGCACAAAAATAAGCAATGACTGACAATTGCAATCAGTTCCTGTTGCCCATTCTCCATGTTGCATTTCTCTGCAGCCAACGCCTCTGTGACAGCTGGGGTGCAGCAGATCCTGACAGCATCCAAAAAGCTGCTGAAGAAGCACCTCCCTCTTTGCCAAGTTTAGTGTCTGAAGGTACATTTTGAGGAAAATCTCAGGAAAAAGGGGTCTAGGGAAGTAAGGACCTCTGCACAATCTGCCAGTACATTTCTGCTGGGCTTCCAGTGCCTACAGCAGAGTCCCTGCAAGAGATTGGCACAGGTATTCCTCTGACCACATGAATGAAGTGTGGAAGAGCTCTGGCATTGGGACCGTATTCTAAACAGAACCTCACGAAGCTATTTCCCTGCTATGCTCTAAAACAGACAGACAGGGTTCCAAGGAAGCAAACCAAGTGAAAGAAATTATTCCATCTCACCTAGGAGACTGAGCAGAAATGACTGTGTGTAATGGGCATGAGGGGGAACAAAGCAAAACCTCCAGATACAATCAGGCAACGTATTAGGCAAGTCTCAAATGTATTTGCTGTCTGCCTACCTAATAACAATTTAATTCAGTGTTCAATTAAAAGTTCCTTGATTGATTGCTTACACTCATCCAATACGGCTTGTTTCGGGGACATGTGTGAATAATTAATGAAGCAGGAGTTGAATACAAAGAATTCTCTGTTTATGAAAATGTATTATCTTCACAAAACCCTAACAACACTTCCTCATTTCTGATTACTTCATGGCAAGCAGATCTCCAGCACCATTAGTTCTTGGAATTTATGGCTTTTAACATCCAAAAGCTGTTTCTCACTGGTTTGGGTTTTTTTAGCTACATACAAATCCGAGCAGACCTCCATAATCCATGTCTTTTTTTAAAAAATTAACAATTATTTGGACATAAACAATATTAATATTAGAGATTATATAAAGATCTTCAGAGCATAAGGACTGAGGATGAGGCAACCTGGATCTTCTGATAAACTAGGCTCATTCAATCATTCAAATGCATTCAGGAATTAATGAGACTCAATCTTGAAGCACAGAAAAGAACCACAAAAATGGCTGGGAGGCTGGGCAAAGCACCTTGCTAGGATAACAAGTCTGCATAATGAGTTAAGATGTACTACATAATGCACATAGCCTAAAGCTCAAACTTCTTTGTAGATGATGCCCATTCAGATTTAAATAGCTGCAGCATAATTTTAGAAATAGTAAAGTCTTTGCCAAAGATGTTTCCCAAATTAGCATCATCAACAAGTTTTAATGCACTTCTTTTAATCCATATCATGGCCAATTCATGTTGCAAATTCTTACTTTTTCGTCTAGTGTAAACCTTCTGTACCAAATTCATTAATCTACATTTAAAAATTAAAAAATACTAAAGACAATATGATCATGGCACACAACCATCTTGCCAGAAAGCAAAAAATACTGAAAGGTTCTCCAATATACTGAAAACAAAAGTAAGTAGAAGTAGCAGCTGAAAGTTTCATTCACTAAATTCACATTAGAAACAAGGGACTGGTTTAAACAATGGTTTGCTTATCACTAGAGAGAAGGGAAGAGTGAATTCTCCATCTTCTGAATTTATCAGGTCTAGACCAGACATTTAATATTTCCCAGAGTCAAACAAATAATAGAAACAAAGAAGTGGAGGACAGCAGAGACAGAGGGCTCCTGAGTGCAGAAATGCCCTGCTGAGGGAAGGATAATATTTCTAGGCTTCACATCAGAATGACCAAATTCAAATGGTATCTAACAAGAAGTCAGACTAGATAACACAGTGGTTTTATTATGGTCTTTTAGTCTATGAAAGTAACTCTTTCACCCTCATTTTCAGGACAATAGAAATGGCAGAAGATATGAAGTCTGAACTACATTCACAGCCTGTATAATTATGTTGTCATTATTTTACTGCGAAAACAAAGACCATAAATTAATCCCCAGGGTGAAAAAACACTGGTTTTAATTAGATAAAAAGTCATTTATAGTGGTGTCAGGAATTTGGATTTCAAAAATTTAAGCTGCAGAACAAGACTCCACCACATTGCATTATATTTTATGACCATAATAGAATAATTCTATTATTGTCAGACGTTTTGTACTGTATTACAGTCTTAGAGCAGTGTTAGAACAATACTAAGCAAATAGCAGGTGCCCCTTTAAAGGGATTCCAAATGTTTTCCTCATCTACACACTTGAAACAAAAATTAAAATTAATTTTATCTCACATTAATTGTATTATCACTAACAAGCAAAATTTGGGTTTTATAAGAAGGTCCCAACCTCAAAGTTTTTCAAACAGAATGCAAAGAAAACCAGTTTCAACTATTTTTAGCCTGACAATATGTATGTACTGACTGAAGTATAAAACTTGACATTTTTCGCAGTCATGAAAGCTAAACATTCAACTGAATTTTTCTTAAGCTATAATTTATATAGCCAAGTAACCTCTTGCTATGTTCAAAGATACTGAGAAAACACAAAGCTGACACTCTAAAGCTGCGTTGGAGAGTTTAAAGGAATAACAGGAAAGTTTTCAGAAGTTTAAGTTATTTAGAAAGATCTACTGTTTGAAAGTATTTTTTCCCTATCAATGGTTGCCATAACATTAGGATTTTTATTACTGATGAAAAAATTCCATAATGTAAGCTGAAAAATATACAGCTGCAAAACACATCTGTATTTTACATATAGGTATGAGTGTGTATTTTTCAAAATGTGTTTCAAAGTAATTGTTTTGCATAGCCATAAAGTAGAAAAATAGGGAACCTGAGGACCTAAAAATAGGGAACTTGAGGACCTAAAGCATTCTTTTGATTTCAACTCCCAGAATTGTCTTTAGTTCCTTTTTTGAATCTGTTGGATCAATTGTCTAGTGTTCAGAGGCAAGGGCATTGATTAAATAGCCAAGATGAACCCAAATTTTTTATGCTAATTCTATTGTCTCTTTTTGGCTATTTCAAAGTGTTTTTCAAATACAGGATGACACACTAATTGCTTAAGCTGAAAACTGCTTCCTTCAGTTCATAATTTTCCATTAGTAACTCTAAAAGAATTGACTTCCTGGTCTTACCATGGCAGCTCTAAGTGATTTTAACCCATGTGGTATCATTAGCAAGCACTGTATTTTCTTCTGGCCAAGAAAGGGTTCCCTACTCTGCTCTCATTCATCAGCCTAAATTAAACAGGTCAAAGCTGGACAAGCTTTTCAAACCCCCTATGACTATTGGAATAACACTTTTTCTCCTTCCAGATACATGTCCCATTATTACAAGTGGTTTCTTATTTTTAATCCAATCACAATGCTCACCTGTAATACTACACTGATCTCTCATGTGGTATCTGCTGCTCAATTTCTCCATTTTTTTAAAACGGGAGAACTGTATTTTAACTTGTGCCTGTGTAACTATCTTGCTGTTAAATGATATTCACAATATTCCATTGCACAAAATTCTTTTATAGTGGAGACTGCAAGAGCATGGCTGAATTCCTAAGTTATGGAGGTCCTACCATCTTGAGAGCTGCCCTGCCATTCCCTCCAGCCCCCAGACCTTCCTGAGCCATCCAGAACAGCCACTCCAAGCAGGCAAGAGCAGCACTGCAAGGGGTGAGTGGCATTACCTGCCCCAGACTTGCAGCCAGGTGAAAGCCAGCCTGTGCCACTAGAGGCTAGATTTAAATGAGTTGCAGTTTCTAAATTTAAATTACTTAATGTTAAAAATGTTAAAATACTTTTTACTAGAACAGGTTAAGTTGTTGCCATGGATAGAGTTTAAAAAAATAAACAAGCCAGTGAACCTGAAGCTGGCTAAAATGCATCATAACCTAAATTTTCCAGAGCTTATAATTTAGTGAGTGATTTAAGTCCATTTTAGCTGTAAATGAAAGCATCTACATGAGAGTGGAGGTCCACCTGCAAACTGTGGGCACAACAGATGTGGGTTTGGGATTGATTAACTTGATCTCTGTGAGGGCTGTCTATGTTCTGTAGTGAAACCTGGTGTGGTGACCTTCCTCTCTTATGGTACAAAATCCATGTCGTCCTGGAGTTAGCCCTAAGCTGAAAAACTTAACATCCAGCATTTTAAAAAAGCCTGATGTTATCAAGTAATCAAGTGAATAAGCTCCACAATGTTTGTGGAAATGTGACCTTCTAATTAAATATTAAATAATGTTATTGTAAATCCCATTGGGAATAAAGTTATTGCATCTGAAATGTGATTGTGGAGTTTGCAAACTCTAAAGTCAAGTGAGTTTGTGTATCAGGAATATCAACCACTTACAATGAACTAGGATAAAAAAAAATTTTTGCTTGTGAACAAAAAGGTTGCTATAGTTCAAAAGTTATGCACTCTAAGAAATATTCATTGCCAAAAAAATAAAAAGTTTTTAAAAATAATCAGCTATTCAAGGACTATTTGCTTGAATGATTGAATGAATTTACCTTAGTTTTATTCATCCAAGAATAGGTCTAGAAACAATAATTCAAACTTGCTCAGTTGGTTCTTCTTCCAGCACAACATCTTTATAGTTGCATGACTGACAGGTAATTTTACTGTTACAGTTAAAGCCTCGCAGACCTATGATAAGGATCTCTAGGATCAACGTTTTTACTGCCAGAAAACTGTAATCAACTCTTATTTCACACCACTCTGGATGAAAAATGAGACCAGTAAAGTCTAAAATTTGTATCAAGAGTACAACCCTGCCTTTTGTTAAAATGCTGCATTCCAGGGAGCTCCAATCATATCACAAAAAAAAAATAATAAAATTAAAAAAAAGAAGGAATCATGTTTGCATTTCAAACTAGCATTTACTTTGAAAAAAATTACATTCTCAATTGTATTTAAAATGTTTCAATGTACTTTCAAACTGCATAAGCAGCTTTTCTGTGTCCACAGAAATAATTATTTTGCATCTTTTCACCATTTTAATAATAACTGAAGCCAGAAAAATTTCATACTCATATCAAAAGCAAAACTAGAGCAAGCCAAAAATCATCTAAGCAGTATGTTATATCTCTGATTGCACCGCAGGACTCTCTTGAACATGCCTGTACTCCTTTTATGAACACTCTCCCTGATGTGAGCCGTGACATGCATGCTGAGTTTTGGCAATAATATACAACTTTTTGCCCAGTTCTCCTACTCCTTCCAGTCTTTCATAAAGGAATAAAGAAAATGCCCTAATTCAGCAAAGTGGCTGAGATTGGGGAACAGATCTCATTTGTGATTTACAGAAAAAATACAAGAGCTGTTAGAGGAAAATGTGTGAGGGTGTTCCTTTTACACAGCAAATTTGGTTCATTCTGCAAAATACTAAAAAGAGGGGAAAATAGATGCTACCTCAGCTTGTAAGAAAGCAAGCTTGATGAGCTCTCTGAATGTTCATCTTCAAAGCATTCTTCCCTTCCTTCATATGTAAACTGGTTATATGGCAAAAACAGAGGTGTAGACTTAGCTGATGGAGACAGCGAGGCCTCTGTCTGTGATGTAGAAGGACCTGGCTGCTGACTTTCATGCATTTTCACATCGCTGTGGTCTGTCACTTTGGATAAGATCCTATCAATGGTTTTGTAGTAAGGCCAGTCAGGTGCCACAGTTTCACTGTCAGTCATGCATTTTAATTTCCTGTAAGAAAAGGCACACAACATTAAAGCTTGTTTTCCTACAAAGAGTACTCTTCATACAGATCTATTTCAAAACATTTGTTCTGGTCACATTTAGGAGTCAAACTGAATGCTTTTAATGAGATTGAAATTAGACACTTTCCTTCTTTAACTTCCAGTGAAGTCTTTCAGGTTCTTTTCCTAGGTTTGACCTATTATAAAAGGTTGCATGTAAAACCCAAATGAAATTCAATACAAATAGAGAACATTACAACTTCTAATGGAAACAGGACTGTGTTCATGGTTGAATAATTTTCTTCCCTTTAAAGAATATCCAACTAACCAACGGGACAGCAGTCCCTGACAACTGGACTAGGCAACACACCACAGCCTTTACTAAACTGAGGGCAGCCCTGTGCTTCCATGCTTTGAAGAATTAATATTTATTTTCTATAATGAATACAAGTGGCTATAAATATAATGCATATCCTTTTTCTAATATTGCCTAAAAGCCCTGAAATGCCTTGGCAAATATCCTTGTAACAACCATGAGATACAGACGTCTGTTCATCTGTTACAGAACAAAGATCGGGGTAGGCAAAAGTACAGTTTCATTAATATACAAAAAAAAAAAAAAAAAAGGAAGAAAACCCCAAACCTAAAACATTTAATAATGCATTAGAAACAACATGAACAAAAACATTACATTACAGTGGACTATCCACCATCACCTTGTCCTTCACGCTTATCTTATTATGAAATTTATTATTCAATCCTCAGACAAGTTCACTGCTATCCCAGTAGTTACACAGTGTTATTTATTTTCTTTTACTGAGAAATGTAAAACTTAGGTATATAGATGTAGTATATATCTCAAAGAAATTCCAGGAACCCAAATTTGCTATTCATTTTCCTCTCCCAGTTTGGATCTTGTTACTCTAAATCAAAATGCAGGAAGGGAACACAACAGGAAAGGCAAGACCAATGACAAATGCCCCATTTTCATAAACCAGATTTAATTCAAATTAACAAAAAGCTGAACTAAATCTGATTCTCACAGCTAGAGGTTTGCATTTGCAGGGAAAAAAAAAAAAAAGGATGAAAACTATTCCTGGACACCTGGCCCACCCTCTTTTTCTTGACGCCTTTCAGGTTTTTCCTTCTCAGAATCCATCCTGCCCACACCAGTCCTGCAAGTGGTAGAATTAAATAACATGTAAACATGAAAAAAATTGTGCCAAACTTAAAAGTGAGAACTTGAAGTTCTTCCTTTTAAAGCTCTGTCAGCCTAGAGTAAGGGGAAATCCACTAGTGAGAAAGGACGGCAGTAAGATTTGCTTAGATTTTAAAGCCATTTAAGGATTCTTTTTTCCTTGTCCTTGCAAGGTCTGATGAGCTTTTCCAGCTATTTAGAAATGCACATCATAGTCCTGCAAAGCAAAGCCTCACAGCCATCCATACTTCTATGCCCTCTATGCATTCAAAATTTTAATTTCATACATATTTCACAACCTACTGCTGTGATTTCATAGTCAGAGAATATCGAACACAGTCTACAAATACATGCATATCCATCCAACACAGACAGAAAATAGCTAAACACAGTCCTGACAACAACCATCAATTAATATTGATTATTTTTAGTTCAATTGTTGAGGCTATTTGCATGAAAAATGTATCAATTATGCCACAATAAGCTAGTAGCAAGACTACATGCCACATTTGTTTGCCTGTGTTGAAACCCTCAATGTGTTCAAGCTATGGGGTTTAAAACTGAACTTCAATTATGCAATGCATTCACGGTGGTCAGTCATCCCCATGGGTGAGAGAGCAAAAGCCAGGGGTGACCACATCTCATCAGTCACTGCCCAGCCCAGCAGCTGCATTCAGATGTTTCATGGGTCATGATTTGAGCCTTTGTGTCAAAAAAGGCAGGACAAACTTAGAGCTGATTGCTGACTGCTCTGGAACAGGCTTGTGTTCAGCCTAATATCTGCCAGGAGCCCCGAGTCCCCACCAGCAGAGTTGCTGCCCAACCAGGCTGTCGCCTGCCTGTTCTGGCATTTGACCATCCCACAAGGAGGATTTTGCATTTGTCCTTGTCGAAGTTGATGGGGACCCTGTCAGCCCACTTCTCAAACCTGTCTAGGTCCCTCTGAGTGGCAGTCCTGCCCTCGTAGGTGCAGACTGCAGCCCCCAGCTTGGTATCATCTGCAAAATAGTGAACATGCACTCCACCTTCGCCTTTGGATTGTTGATATTCAACAGGGCATGTCCCAATAAACACCTGCAGTCCTCCACTGGGAATGAGCCTCTAGGCAGAATACAAACCATTAACAACCACTCTGTGCCCAGATCAGTGTGATCCAGACAGTTTTCTAGCCAGCTCTTAGTCCTTCCATCTGCAGTGAAACATCCCAGCTTGGATACAAGGATGTTCTTGGAGACTGTGTCAAAAGGGTTTGTACTGTCAAGCTAGACAATATTTTGCTCCGCCCTCATCCATAGATCTAGTTTTTAAAAAATAAAGCAAACAGGTCAGTCAGATGTGATTCAGTGCTGGTAAATCCATTCTGGCTATTCCCAGTCACCACTTTTTCCTTTATGTGACTGGAAATTGCTTCCAAAACTTCTTGCTCAATGATCTTCTGAGAGTTGAAGGGAAGAACTCTTAATTCCTGTTCCTGCCTTTCTGAATATCTAACAGCCTTCTTCCAGTCCCTAGAGACCTCCCTCAGTCTTCACAAACTTACAGAGATGACTCCTGACTCAGACCTTTTCTACTGCTGGTATTTCTGATAACCCTGAAGCAGGCACACCCGCCTGAGACAGCTGGGCAGTGAAGGCTGAAGTAAAGATACCAAGTATCCTAAACCTCATTACTTGCATCTCCTTTCATTAAATCACCCACCCCTGCGGTGATTCTTGGGGCATCAGAGGTATAACTAGAGTCTGGGGGATGGGAGATTGAGGGCAGTCCTACAGGGCAGGAATTGGGGGTGCTGGGCAATGAGAGGCTGGACATGAGCTGTCAGTGTGCTTGTAGCCCACAAAGCCAACCATTATTCTGGGCTGCAGCAAAAGCAGCATGGCCAGCAGCTTGAGGGAGGGGATTCTGCCCCTCTGCTCTCCTGAGACCCCACCTCAAGGGCTTCAAAAACACTCAGAGGGCTGGAGCAGCTCTGCCACAGGGACAGGCTGAGACAGTCAGGATTGTTCAGCCTGGAGAAAAGAAGGCTCTGGGAAGACCTTATTGTAGATTCAGACTAGATATAAGGAAGAAATTTTTAATAAGAGTGGTGAGCCACTGAAACCAATTGCCCCGGGATGGATGCTGCATCCTGGCAGTGTCCAAGACCAGTTTGGATGGGGCTTTGAGCAATCTGGTTTAGTGAAGGTGTCCCTGCCCATGGGAGGGGATTGGAAAGAGATGGTCTTTAAAGGTCCATTCCAACCTGAACCATTCTATGATTCAATGGAGAGTTTCCAGGAGCAGATGTTTTGCCTGAGTAAGTTGGTGCCTTTTTGTTGTTGTTTGAGCTCAGCTGTGTACTCAGATCCCCTTTTTCTACAGAACTATGACAATTTGGAAGGAAGAGCTGGTGTTTATTGTCTGCTCACAGAGCTGTAGAGTTGCAGTTATATAAATGCAGGTTTTTCTCTGGCTCTCAATGTATCGAATGGATACTAGTTCTACTTCTGACTGCTTACCATAGCTCTGAGCTAAATAAAAGGGATCACTACCAGGATGTGGACAAGAGAAGTGTGTTAGCTTAAAAGCAGCACCAGCAGCAAACATCTACGTGTATGGAGTCTGGCTCAAACACAGAAAAAAAGATGAAACAGGGGAAGAGATGAGAAGGAGAAAGGGAGTGTCAGTCCTTTGGAAGAGAAGTAGAAATGCTGCAGGTGGAGGTAAATAGGGAGACCATTCAGTGCAATAGTGTTGATGGTTTGTCTTTCTGGTAAAAACAAACCAAATAGCTAGCTTTGTTCCAATATCAAGTTCCAGGATTTACTGACTTTTAAATATTTTTTCCACACCTGCCAGGAGTCCAGAAAACCTAGTGACACAGCTGAGAGCTTCTGCCTGCATTGAGGTGCATGCAGCCCTGGAAAAACTGGAGTCTAAAGCAGAGATTAATTTACTGCCCTCAGTCATTAGTGTAATTCATCGCAGCAATCTTAGTTGCTTTCAAGAGACAGAGTTGGGGCTTTGTTTGTTTTAATGAAACATGAGGATGTTAAAAGAAACAGGACCATATGAAGCCTGGAGTGCAATAGTCCAGAAATGAGAGAGCAAGATGAGCCAAACATTAACACTTTGAAACTGGGCACATCACTGCCTGAGTGAGCAAGCCAGGCAGGAAACATGAGGTAAGAAACAGAGGTAAGCAAGAAAGTCAGCAAAGCTTGCAAAGTAAATTCTCACTGAGTTTATCTAGACCTGTTGCTGTTTCATGAGGCTCTATTAAAATCCAGCTGGGAACAGAGGCAACCGAGAACTCTCTCCAAAAACTCAGGGATCAAAGTCAGATTTCCGGTGGTCAACTACCCAAAGCATGCCAACCCAGTTAATTTGAAAGGTGATTGCTTGTCTTATTCCAGAGACGTGAATAAATTAATGGACTTTGAGATCCCACTGCCAAAATGCTCCACTGAATAGACTGAGACAACTGTTGAGTCATTTGTTCTGCCACTGACCTTTTTTCAGACTTTATTCACTGTGCCTATTAATTCACCTTCTAAAAGAAAACTATCACAGTATTATGTTCTAAAGAGGTTTGGTTTTTTTAAATCATCATTATTTAGTCAGCAAAAAGCAAGCAATCTATAACTTGCTTCATTTTTTTTAGACTTTGCTTAAAGCAGTATTGCTTTTTTATTATTATTGCAGCATTTGATATTACCACTTGCCTTAAGGAATGGATACAAGATCCATCTCCTGGGGTTTCTAGGAAAATATTTCAAAATAAATAATAAATAGCAACTATTTATGAACCAATCAATGGTGAGGAAAAGAAGGATGATGAAAGTACAATACTAAGTTGTGCATCTGCCATAAATTATTGAAATTAAAGGGAAAGATAGTAAAATATTCAAATTCAACTTTTTGCAGTAATTTGGCTGCACTCATATTTTATCATTTGCTGTAACAGAGGTCAAATTTCCCAGTTGCATAATGTCATAGAGTATAGCAATGGGTTACACAAGCAAAAATGTTTAATTGCTATCATGTACACATGAAAATAAAAAATTAGACTACTCTTTCATTCAAATCATAAGACTGATTCAAATTTACCAATCATTAACATTAATTGACTGCAATTCAAATCAAAGAGCAACAGCTGCATCCTGTTTTCTAGGCTTTGCGGAGGGTGATGTTTTTGAAAATAATAAATTTGCATTCACACAGTTCTTATTTTTAAACATCAGAAGGAATCAGTCAAAACTGTGGACCACTGTGCAATCTGTGCAAACCCTGCTTCCTTTTTATAAGTCACTGTGTATTGTGTCAGTGGCAATATTATAACAGTCACAGAGCACTGTGGCACAGTGGGATCAGCACATTAGCAGTGACAGGACAGTGCTTTCTTTTAAGGAATAATTACAGGATCACATGAGCTAATAGCCCCAGTAGGCTGCACAACACAGAGAACTGGGCACATACTCTAAGGGATGCTAAACCTCAATAGCTGGCACCCTAATCTCAGGAAAACTTTTGATGACCAGCACATCTGAAAGCTTGACTTTGAATTCCAGGAAGCTTGACTCAGCTCTTCCTTCTTCCAGGATGGATAAATGGGGAGGTTCATGCAGCTCACCACACAGGTATCTTTGAAGTGGAACATTAAAAACCTGGTGGCTGATCTATCCACTGCAGATATTTCAGATTTTACAGCAATCCCTAAAAGCAGAACTTTACTTAAATACACCTGCAAGAAAGAATTTTCCTTCTACCTTTGGTGCTGTGCAGAATTTTCCACCCAGTCAATTTCCAAGGTGGATGAAATGGTCCCTTAATATACTGAGACTCCAGTAAGAATTACTTCAGGTCATGGTTTATTTTTCCCTGATTAGTTTCCTCCAAATGCACTCAGACTACAGTAGTAGTGCAGAGGAACACAGGAACCACTGCCAGATCAGTCCATCATCTCACTCTCTCCTGACAAAGGTCAGTGCTGAATACTTCAGGAATTATTTTGACAGACAGCTTTTGAGAACACATTCACCCATAAAAACACATGGTTATTTTTCCATCAATGGACAGTAATATCCTGAAACCTGCTGTTTTTCATAACTCTACCTAATTGGAAGACAAACAACATCTGTTTTTTTATTTAATAAATCTAATCTTTAGTAAAAATAGTAATAATACTAAAACAACCTGCTGCTCTCTTGGTGTCAATGATTTTCAGTGGCAATGAGTTCCACATGCTTATTATGCAGTGCCATATGACTTTAACTAGTTTTATATGACTAGTTTTATATGACTTTAACTAGTTTTACGATTTCTGCCTTGCAATTCTTATGAATAACTTCTTGTATAATGAAAAAAAAATCTGCTTTACAGTCTGAAAAACAGTGCATATTTTTATGCCCCTCTAAAACTCCTTTAGCATTCACAAACTTTTCCACCTCTCTTAATAAAGAAAGCTTTCTACATCCCAGCCTAACTGTTCTCTGAACATCTTCTCATTCTCTTGTCACCTTGTTGAAATATAGGGCAGGCAGAAATAAACACAAGAATTCAAGGAGGAGGAAATAATGAGATAAAATAGATTTCTTTTTGGCATTTTAACACCTGAATAATATTTTCATCTCAGATATGGAGGAATGGAATATGATCACCCTAAAACTGCTTATGTGAGAGATGCTCATGCACACTGAGCTACACCTGAAGTAACTTTACCTGGCAGCACAAGATCCAGCATGGGATCCAAACACACCCAGAACCAGGGTGAATACCTGGGGTGGGAGCCCCTTTTGAGCCCCCTGCCACTGTACACACCCATATAGGCTGCTCTTGCTGCAACAACTGTGATAATTATTGGCCAAGAAACACTCCTTCCCTACTTGATATACGTTTGTCTGACTTGGGCACCTCCTGCTCATAATGAATGGCTTGCACTAAGCAGAATAAAGAAAATAATATTTACTGAACTGCCTCTTAGGATGCCATGGGATCCTCAAACTGGAGAGCACCATTATAAACATGTTCACTGCTTTGTATTTCAGAACCTTATATGTTTCAGATCATCAATATCTGTTTCAACAGATGTCCCGGGATAAGACACAGGAGTGACAGCACTTTTAAAACTGAACTTGGTTAAAAAGACAAGTAGAAATAGTCAAGTATTGCTTTTCCTTTTTATGGAAAAAAATACACATATATGTATTCATCCATATACATATGTGTAGTAATTTGTAGGACAGGGGCTTTATGTTCCTTTAGGAAATTGTAACACATAGCTAAATAATATGATCTGAGTAATTATTTTAATGCAGTTTATTTCTGACTGTTAAAGGAAGAGTAGAGGCCACTGTACCTCTGCAGCACTGTTCAGAGTTGCCTAAAGAAGTACAGGATCCTGAAGTGGGGGAAGAAATAAGCTCCTAGGTGCAGAACACCCCCCACCCCCAGTCCTGGTACTGGTGCTTTGTTCTCCCATGTCACACTCTAGTGTTAGAGTTACATTAACCCAGCGTAGTCATTACAAAGTATTGTCCCAAAATAGAGCATTTTCCCACTCTCAGGATCTTCTTCTCCAGTTTGTGCCACAGTGCAGCAATGATGCTCAGAAATACACTGATGTAAAGCATCTTCCTCAAGTGTCCTGCAGGCACCCAAATGTAGGTGAAAACTCGGCTGCCTCACAGCAAAGCCAGCAGTCGGTGGCCACTCATGTCATTTACAGTTTCACCACAACCTTCCCTATCCTCACACACCACCAAAAAGTACCCAGAAAACTAGAAATTGTGAGTAACAGCTTCTGCTTGTCCCTGTTCTCCATACCACCTTACCTTGACAGCAAAGCACACAGGCGTGTGAGCAAACAATAAGAAGATGCATTTTATATTCCAGAGCACAAAATGAAACAGCTCTGTGACAGCACAAGGCAGTTTTTAACTCTCCTAAATTAGCATCTCAATCAATAAGCAGGGAGCTGCCATGCACTGCAAAATAGAAAAGCAGATTGACAACATGCAACAGAAGCAATCTTAGAAGTTCACAGAAATAGAAGGATATTTCTTAAAAGTGCGGTTTCTCTCACACACACACAGTGCGTGTATGCAAGTGATTTTATTTCTTCCCTCCCCCCAGTGCAACTTTAAAGTAAAAACATTAATTAGAAAAAAAAAATGAGACTCTCTGATTGATGACAACACTGTAAATTTAGAACAAAGGCTGACAGAAATAACCTATTCCACTTGGCAATTACGGCACTTAACTATCGTGCAGTGTTGCTGCTACAGACACCTGTAAAATCTCAGTGCCGTGAGATGCAATTCCCAGCAGGGAGGACTGCAGATTTAGCAGACTAAGCAAAAGCCTGGTAGCCAGCAACTCCCGACTCCTAAATCTGCATCCGAGTGTGAATTGCTGGGTGATGCTGGACAAAATTTTATCTTACTTTCAGCTTTTTCATCTCCAGTCTAGGTGAAGAAAACTGTAGGGATTACAGCAGGGTTGGTAAAACATTTTGGAGACGTTAGCATTTGCCACAAAACATCAGGTTTAATATTATGGCAAATGATGCTAAACATTATGCTTGTGGATCATAGAAATGTAGAAGGACATTCAAAGTTAAGGGGTTTACAGGATTTTCCCTAGTTTTCTATTTGATGAGCAGTCTCTGCATTAAATACAATAAGGGTGCCTTACAGAAAAGCGAGCAGTTTTAACATGGTTGCCTGCTGTAATAACCTTTTTTATTATTAATATGAGCTTTGAGGAGAGATTAAATAAAAGAGTCACATATTTGATTTTCTTGCATTACAAGCACCTAGCTCAAATCACCACTCAGAATTTCCAGTATGAGGCATTTTGTGCTTCACAGAGATAAGAATTAAAAAAAAAAAAAAAAAAAAGAAAGAAAATATTTCTGTTAATTTCTAATTATTTTTCTCCCTGCAAACAACAAATCCCTGCAAACAACAAATCCACAAATGCCTCACATTTTCTGAAGCCAACTTCCCCTCCTGACTGCTTGCCTGTTCTTTATCATCCCCTCATAGACACCTCCGCCCTCCCCCCGACTCCTTTGGAGCAGTATTGACGGTGCACATTGATTCTCTCTGCAGATATAATAGTTCTTTCACTGCTGCTGCTTATAATTATAGCAATGTGTGTCACTCAGTAATAAGACATTCAATTATTCTTGGCCCCGTGAAGTGTAACCCTTCAACTCATGAGACCAAAATCGAGGAGCATCAGCCCCCCCCAAACATTATTCTGTTCTAGTTTCTTTTTTTTTTTTTTTTTTTTAACTTTGCCTTGCAATTCCGATCCTCAGTGGCCACTTGAAACTGCAGGAGTTTCGCTGCAAGGAATTGGCTGCCAAGCTAACACAATCAGTCCCCTCAGCAAAGAGAAAAAAAAAAAAAATAAATCTCTTTTCCCCATTAAATACATTTCCATCCCTCTGCATCATAACAATGCCAGCTAATTTTAAAGAAACAAAGTTGTCCCAGAGTTTGACATGAAATGGGGGGGACAAATTAACAATGACGTAACAGCATTGGCAAGAGAGAATTTTAAAAGCGATATGAACAATCTTTAATCTTTTATCGACAGATTTCCTCTAGGAGACTTCTTTCTGAAAGGCAAAAATCACTGCGCCGTCCCTGCTAAAATCTCTTAAAATAAAAAGAATTAACTGAAGCTTACCTGTACTGGAATGTCATATTTGTAATTTTTATCTTTATTTCCTCTCCGTGGCGAATTTCTCCAGTCATTTCAAAGAGTTTGTTAGCCATTTTCTCATAAACTTTGGCATTCCTTTTAGTTTGTTTCAGCTCATCAAAAAATTCTTCCCAAACCAGCATTAAACCTCTCATTTCTGCATCAGTCCAGTTTCTGGCCCTCCTGTGTTTCTCAGTCTGAGAAGAGACAATGTAACTGGGAATTTCTGCTGCAGCCATTGCTGACTGACCTAAAAGGGTTTTAAAAGAGGACACTTAATATAGATTGAGTTTTTAGTTTAGGTTTTTTGTAGTGCAAGACATGCATATGTGGATAAAGAATTTGAATGACAACAGAACATATGAAACCTTTTTGCAACAGCTTGAAGCTTGAGTGCACAAAATGGGGCCTACATCTGACAGGCAGGAATTTAGTTAAAAGCTTTTAAACAGAGAAACGTCATTTTGATGTCACGTTTCCATAGCAACAGAGCAACTGCATAAGCTACAACAACAAAAACCTTTTAACTGAAAGCCAAAGAATCAGGACAAAGTTGACAGGCCATCAATATTAAAGCTTTTAAACACTTTAGGTTTAACAAAAAAAAGATCTATGCAGCCTTTGAGAAGCTACTTTTAAGTTTCTACTTCTTTTTTAGCTTTCCCTTACCTTTTAGGCAGACAATCTGCTAGCAGGGGGTCATGGTCGCCTGAACGAGCTTTTAAGTTGTGCCTTGACAGACTCTCTAGGAGGTTGCAAGGACTGAGGCCATGTACACAAAAAAAAAAAAAAAAAAGCTTTTTTTTTTGCAAAGATATTCTGCAAAAAGAATCAGCCAGCTTTATGAAAACTATACATCTCTAAGCTAATAAATGTTTAAGCAGGCAGGCTCATTAAAAAGGATCCTGCATCTGGGCTTTAGAACATGCAAAAAATAGTATTTAAGTGTTTATATAGAGAGAAATATATACAAAATTTCAATATAAAGACACTTTTTTTTTTCCCCGAGATGTTTTGCTGCTGATAAGCACACACTGCAGTCCTGTCAGTATGAATTTGCCTTTGTAGGTATGTATTACTGTATGTGTATTTTGTATTCCTAGTAATTTAGATGCTATTTATGCAGCCTGTGTTCTGCCTTAGGACTGCAGCAGAAGCATTTCACCTGCTTTATGGGCAACCTAAAAGGATTATTCAACGAGTTAAAAAAAGGCTGTGAGATGCTTAGAACTGTGAATAAATTGCTTTGCTGTAAAACAAGCATTTTGAGCTTGTTTTTATATAGGGCTAAATTGTGCCAGCAGTTATATCAGAGAAGCAGGGCTTATTCATTGTATTAAACACTGCAATACAAGCGGTGGGCCAAATCCTGCCCCACTTACACTCCTGCAATCTGACAATAATCTTCCACAAAAGAGTGAGATGCAGGAACTGCATTAATTCCAGCAGTACGACCAGCTAAACAGAAAGATGTTCATTTCCTACAGTCCCAATAGAACCGTGTTATGTAAAATATAAATAAATAATACACAGACCTTTCTTATTATTATTTTTCTGTTTCAGCAATAACGACCCCACTGCAGGGCATTTCCTGAAGATTAATGACAGGCAGGGGTTAATGGCCTGAGGCTCACCCAGTCAGTCGTTAATCCCCAGGAAATGTTCTGTGCCTCAATCCTTAATGCTTAAGTATCCTATAAATTGTAAGTCTTCTCATAACCACATCCTTGATCTTAACAATAGTTTAAAAATGCACGGCTTGGTTTGCATCCTGGAGATGGCAAAGAGAGCACATAATGTTCCTAAAAGGTACACTAGTGACATTTGTGGGACCATTGCCTTCTTTCTATTTTATTTATTCTACTGTATATTACAAAAGGCACAACAGCATACCATAGAATAAGGTGGGGGTATGGGGGGGGGGGG